AAAAACGTCCCAGCTCAAATTTTTGATATTGTCAATATTTTTTTCTGAAGAAAGATAAACATGTATATGATGAAAGCCAAAATATTGAATGTCACGGATGTATATTTACTGAGTAATCCACAATTTTGTAGAAAGAGTTCAAAATGACAATTTTCACCTGAGATTTGTAGCCAAATTGCAGAAAAGGACAAATGAGTTCAGAAAGATGGCAGCATTATTATATAAATTTTTACACAGAGATTGGTAGGTCTATTAGTAAAAATCTGTTGACTTGTCATATCTTGCATTATATGCCAATGGTGACCATTCCATTTGCAACTCTTTTATAGCTACTTTGATATTTCTGTTTTTTTAATGAGAAACTATGCAAGAACTTATTCATTGCGAATTTATTAGATTGTCTATACCACAATGGAGCCAGAACTGAATCTGATGACATTTTTTCCAATAAAAATATTTTTTTCTTTGGAATATTATTGATGAGTCATTGCAGAATAAGGCCAGGAACTTGCATTAAGAAATTATATAGGGTCCATTTTGATTCAAATATTTACAAAAATATATTTAGAAGACCTTCAGAATTTAAAACATTTAAATACGTTTCTTTTGAGAAGCAATTGCATTAAACACAGTAGGATCGGTTGTATTTGGATGTGTTGTTGTTGTTTTTATACCCATATATGCTTTTAAGAATTTTAGAACATAAATCGTTGTTCTAGTGTTTTTTCTTCGTCGTCTTTATTTGATTTATGTATCTATGTACTTATGTCCAGTAGGTGGCGGAGATGCACCTCGAGTAAGTTTGCCAAACTTCATTCAATAGAAAAGTAGTAGAAGAAGAACTTCGCTCATTTGTCAACAAGAAGCCGGTGCTTTCGCCGACGTGGACTTGATTTAATAGTACTTATTTATTATGAACTATTTCTATTAGTAATAACAACCTTATTATAACAGATCTATTTAATCATGTGGGTTCTCTTTTTGGAAACGTAAATAAAAGAAATACTTTACCGATAGACTCTTAAGAGTTAGCCTGTCAAAAGTGGGATTTGTTGAACTATGCCCTGTCGTGTCATCTGCGTTACACTGCTGCTCTCTGTTGGGATACTGATTCATGGGACTAAAGCCGATGAGTTTACTGAAGAAATTAAGCCTCCAGACTGGAGAAAGACTCTAAAATCCATCCGGAACGGGCTTCAAAAAATAGACAAATACCTTAACATGGCTTTAGACCTGGTCGGAGGTTCAGACGGACGCTGTATCTTTAAGTGCAATGACGGTAGGTCAGTTTAAACATAATAATTTCTTCTGTCTTCATCATTTGGTTTAATTGGTCATGGGATTTGGCTCTTTATAGGATACACACCAGTTCCTCGTCCCAGCTACAAATCGCCTCCACCCAACGGATGCGGCTCCCCACTGTTTGGATTTCAGGTGAAGAGAGAAAAGCTATTACTCATATTGCTGAATTGTGGTTTTCAATAATATGTATTGGGAGATATAAATTGATTGCTTCTCTAATTTGAATACTGCTTATTCTTTTAATATTCTCTCTGCCTCTGACTTGTGTTGTGTTTGACTGCAGTTTGATATTGGGCTCCCATCAATGACCAGATGCTGTAATGAGCACGATCTGTGCTATGATACCTGTGGAAGAGAGAAAAATGACTGTGATAAGCAGTTCCAGGTCTGTCTGGAGACCATTTGTAGTTATTTACAAATGACACTGGGTTTGTCCCAAAGTGTTCAAGGTAAGTTAAAACAAATTAAAGGTTGACCCAATTTAATTTATTAAATGGAAACGGTGCATTTTTCAACTTGACAGTCTTGCTAACAATGTGTATGTATATATATATTATAT